GCAGGGAGCCCAATGTGGGACTCGATCCTGGGACTCCAGGATCATGACCTGAGCCGAAGGCAGTCGCTCAACCAACTGAGCCACCCAGGCGCCCCTTTGTGTATTAGTGTTTTAATTTAACCCTAGAACACAGATTATAGTAAACAATTGCTTTTTGACATTCATTTATAAAATACAGACTTTTATGAGAGCGGGTGTGGTGGACATGAGCTTCAGAACAACGATAATGGAGACAAAAAGAAATCTTCAGGAATGTATGAGTACTGAAATTATTAAAACATATTTTTTAGTTTTATATTTAGGAATAGGTGTAGAGCAAAGTAACTCAAATGTTAGCTCCCTTCAGTCTTGACTTGTAAAGAGCCGAGAAAAATAAAAGGAATGTTTTTGATTATTTTAATGGAAAGCTGAAGGTTCTAAAACACAAGTACGGCGTATGCTGATTTCTCGTTATGCCTCTTGCCAGCTGGATGACCTTGAGCAACTTACCCCAATTTTCAGAGCATCTGTTTTTACCTCTTTAAAAACACACCAAATAACGATGATTTAATAATGAAATGAGATAACGTGTGAGGCTAGAGAGCCGAGGGTTTGTATATCCTGGACACCAGTGTTAAGGGTTTTTTTTTAGAGTCCAAGGCTTGCTTTTTTTCATAAGCAGTGCCAAGAGCATCAAGATTCCACAGGAAAACAAGTTTTTCTTTAAAAAACAAACTTTTAATATCTTTGATGATCAAAGAAATATTGCCCATGAGTCAGTGCTGGAACTGTGTGAAAGAGCAATGGAGATTTATTATAGACTTCTAGAACATTTCTGAAAGGATCCTGATAACAAGTCCCCTCTGCTGCAGGGTCATATGATGCAGGACCCCAGTAACTGAAATTAGCATAGTGACATCACAGTTCTGTCTGGCATTAAAAGAAAGTCATTTGCATTTCTACGGCAAACAGAGGAGGGGAGTTTCGGATATTTGCCAGAACACCAACAAACACATGGTGCGCTGCTTTGATTTCAGAAACATCACAGTGTCATGATGACCTCTGCAAAGGGCTTCCTGTTGCTTTTTTTTTTAAAGATTTTATTTATTTATTTGACAGAGAGAGAGACAGCGAGAGAAGGAATACAAGCAGGGGGAGTGGGAGAGGGAGAAGCAGGCTTCCCGGCAAGCAGGGAGCCCAATGCGGGGCTCGATCCCAGGACCCTGGGATCATGACCTGAGCAGAAGGCAGATGCTTAACGACTGAGCCACCCAGGTGCCCTTCCTGTTGCTTTTTGTGTGATGGTTATCATTCTGCTAGAATCTTCGGACTGGAAGGAACTTTAGAGATCCTCTAGTCGGATGAGGAAACTGAGACCCAGAGAGATTAGTTAAGGCCAGAAGGAGATCAGTATTGTTCATAAAAGAGCAGTCATTCAAAACAAGATCCCTTAACAGTGAAAACAAAAGATGGCCCTTCCTAGATTTTTCTCAGTGGTGCAGCCCTGTGAGACACAGTTTCCGTCTGAATGGCAGAAATGGACACCTCATCGTTCTGGAAGGAAACTGCAGGCAGATACTGCCCTGTATCCAGCTATGGAAGTCAGTGGAGTTGGTGAAAACAAAAGTGAATTGACAAGCCAGGGTCACCCTGGATCCTTGAAAAACTCAAGCTCACCTCTGTTCACGGCCCCCAACCCTGTGTTTTGGTTGAGCTGAGATAAAGCTTGTCTGTTAACATAAAAGGGGCAGGGAGTCGGTCTGTCCTCAGGGGCAAAGCACTGCCTTCTTTGCTTTAAGAGAAATAGACATTTGACATGTTTTGCCTTTGGTGTGGAGCCAAAGAAGTTCTGACGAAGGTTATCTCTAGAGAATGAAGGCTTGGAGTTCACTGTTGGTTTATTGTCTGAATCCCACTTAGCGAAGGGGAGTTCTGACTACTTCAAGGGAGCACTAGTGTAGCTATAGCAGTGCTTGGGATCCCAGACACTCTCCGTGTTCTGTGGGGCATGGCCTCATTGAGTATTCTTTTTGACAGAGCCCTTGACTCAGTTACCACTACACCAGATGACGGTCTTTATCTGGAGAGGTCTTCTTCAAGGCTGTGCTGTTCTCATTGAAAGGTCAGGGGTTCCTGTCAGCTTCCAGGAACCCATTTCCTAAAGTTTTGCCACTGGGCTTCTGAAACTAGCCTAACCTGGTGCCCCCCCACCCCCAACACCAGACTATCTTTGAGGTTTCCCCAACTTCTCTGTGAAAATCACCCCCAAAAGATGCTGTTCTCTAATGGAGTTTGCCACTCACTGTCATAGACTCTCTGAAGGAACTAAACCCCTGGTGTAGTTAGTTATTCCTAAGACGGTGCCTTCACCCAATACCCTGTACCAGCTCCAAGAGGGAAGGAAGTTGGAAACAAAACAGATAGTCTTGGTCTTCACTGAATCAATCCACACAGGTGTATGAGGAGCACCTACAGTGTGTAGGAGCACCTACAGGTGGCTGGTCCCCTCGGGGAGATTCCAGCGAAGTAGAAAACAGGGACAACCCCCTTGCGTAGCAATCTCTTTGTTGCACTTTCTTCAAAGCTGTTAGTTCAGTGCCACCTTGTGGATGAAAAGAACAGTGTAGATTATGACAGCTGATTTAGGATTTTCTTCTAGAGAGCAGATGGTTTCACCTAATGTGCATGCTTATATTATTAGATTTTGTGCTTGCGAGTTGTTTTGGGGTCATTAATTTCATTTTTATTTTCCCCTCATTTTGGCCCTCCCACTGAGATGATGCTGGTACAGGTGGGTCATAAATCACACTGTAGGAAGCACTTACCTAGTTTGGTGGCTCTCAAGTGTTTTTGGCCATGGCCTATGTAGTAAGAACTACGTCTCGCATCGCAACCCAGTAATATGTACATCCATACAAATGTATGAGTGTCTAGTACAAAGGTTTCACAAAACAATATCTGTTTGTATTCTACTCTGATATTTTCTGTTATATTAAATTTCAAAATGCTGACCAACATCTACTAAATTGAATTTATAACTCAGTGGGTTGCTACCTGTAGCTAGGAAGCTGCTGCTTTTTATAGGAGAGGAAACTGAGGCCCAGAGGGAGCTGGAACTGGCTCAGGGTCTTCTGGACTGCACTCTGTGGGCATCCCCCGATCATCTTTGGGGTCAGCCTCTGCACTGTCTGTCCAGATGCTCTCCTGATGCAGCCCAGGTAACCACCCACTCCTCCTTCTAGATGCGCCTGATGGAGGAGGAGTTACGGGACTACCAGAGAGCTCAGGATGAAGCGCTCACAAAAAGGCAACTTCTGGAGCAGACGCTGAAGGACCTGGAGTACGAGCTGGAGGCCAAGAGTCACCTCAAAGACGACCGAAGCCGACTCGTCAAGCAGATGGAGGTCTGTAGGCTATACGAGTGTGAGCCGGGGCCTGTGCAGGGCAAGCATGGGACACAAGAGAAGTGACCTCTGTGTGCACACCTAAGCCTTTGGGATGCCTTCGGTTTTTATTCTCTGGAACAGCCAGACATTAGTAAAGTCATTTCTTGATTTGAGGAAGAAGCTAATAGTTCATAGACTCATAAGTTGTCAGAGCCAAAAGGAATGATGGGGACAGTTTAGCACAGTGCCCTCATTGTCTTGAAGAGGAAGCAAAACAGAGCCGGAAAGAGGCCAGGTGATTTTACATAAGGGCACATAGTGCATTTTCTGTTGGTTGCTTTGGGAGGTGCTTCCAACTACAGAGGAGACAAGATGGCTGCAAATCTAGAGAGGGGCTGAGCTGTGCCTTGGACCCGAACCACCTAACTCCTGGGGACACCCAGCTCTCATTTGTCACACCGCATGCTCTGTTCTTGTCTCCTAACTCTGGCCCTTTTTTGTTTTTTTTCTGTCCCATGATCCAGCTTTGCCAAAGCTAGCAGCAAACTGTGGCTCAGTTCATTTTTGGATACACCATATGTACATAGTCTAAGACAGTATGTCAGAATGTGCTCACTGGGGTCACCAGCTGGGGGTGACCTGTTCACAACATGGTAGAAAAATATGAATCAAGTAATAGAATCAAAACATGCACAAGCTACTGAGCAGGACAGGAGGAATCTTAACATCAGTCCACCTGAGCTTATACAAAAGAATAATCCTCAAGAACAAAACCAGCCCCAAACCAGAACACCCCCCCAAAAACACACATACCCCACATCCCAATGGAATTTAGTGAGGGAGAGAATCAGCCCCAGACCTATGGGAGAAGTTAAAATTGTCAAGGTTTTGGTAAAAAGACAGTGCTCAAGGACAGGGAGAGATGGTTTGAATTTAAAGTCAATGGAATTTCTGATTCAATTTTGCAAATAAATAAAAATAACTTTTAAAACCTCCAGGGGACTTAGTAGCAATTTCCAGCTAGGGAGGGATATTTCAACCATTAAAGATTTTATTAGATGGGCCCCTTTTAGACACTAGAATAACCTGGTTACAGTCTTATTGTCCTTTTGTAGGATTGCTGTGTATTTTGCTATTGTTCCTGCTTCTGATCTCATTAGAGGGGGTCATTTTAAGGCAAGCTAAGGTCAACCCAGTTAACTAGGAAGTGATTTTTCAAGGACCCAAACAATCTGGTTCAAAGCAAGCTAAAGCTGCATTGGACAGCGGTGTGAGAACCTTTGGTGTAATGACCCCTGACCTGGGCCCCTGAATGCTCTTGGTGGGTTTTGAATAGTACAGATTTTAGACAGGAAGAGAGGCCTGTGAGGAGGTGCTTTTAGCTAAACATTGGGTTGTCATCTTCTTCTAGAATATTCTGACTAAAAAGAACATTTCCTTTTACCAAATCAAGGTCTAGAAGCAGTGACATGACTGAGCTTCCCTTGCCCCTGGGCATTATTTTAGATATTTCTCCATTAATGACAAAATGAATAGCTCTCAAGGCCCTACCAGAGCAGCTCGCTGGAGGAGTGTTTCCTCCCCTCAGAGGTAGCTGGCAGGACTAGCTTGCTGTGATGAATATCTTGCCTGTTCCTTCACTAGCACTTAACAAATTAATTCTCTGGACTCAAGAGCTCTCTCAACAATGGGCATTTTCTGTAGGATCAGAAACTCAGGTGGCTGTTTTACGTAAATGAAGCACTTGTGGACCCTCGGTGATTTCTGCCACGAGCGGAACTGGCCTCGGAGGCGTCAGGGACCACGGAACAAAGAGGAGGGTCAGTGCAGAACCCGGTGCTCTGTTCCAAGTTGGTCTTCGAGCCTCTCAGCTCACGGGAGAGAGCTTTCTGGGTTCCCTGTAGATTTCATTCACCAGCAGGGAAGGCATTCACAGACATTTACTCATTCACGTGAGTAGCTCTGATTTTTGGCCTTTACAGAAGCGTCCAGAGCTTATCAGCCAGCCCACTTTGACAATTGCGGAGACAGTATTTACGTGCAGATGCTGCAGACTTGTGTTTCAAAACTCACGATGCCGATTGCTTTTTTACCAAGTATGGCACTCAGTTAACGCAGACATATGACACATTGGCGAGTGACAGGAGAAACATGTGCATAGACCTTACAAGCCCCTATTTCTAGGTAGGGTGGTTTGTGTTAGAAGCCTCTTTTTTCATACACACAGCTACTTTGACATGCTTTTCTCTTAGCACTCAATGGTGTTAAATGAGGACCCAGCAAGGAAGACAGAAATGACAATTCTTCTGTAATGACTGGGCCACTGCTGTCTCTGGGTTACTCAGGTGCAGATTTGGGACTGACTGCCTAATGCACGAAGTGTGTGAGGTGTCCTAGAAAAGCAGGCGGGGGCAATAGTAAGTCGTAGCCTTTACTCCTGCAAGGCTCTCGGAAACTCTGAGCAGGAGGGAGAGAAAGCGTTGTCCAGAGCTTGGAATTTTTAGAAAAATGTGTCTTGGATGATGTCTGAGCTCCCACATTGCCTTTTAACAGGTAACTTGGGGACCTTAGGCCTAGGTAGATCTTTGTAAAGTTACTGATTCATAAGGGGGACAAAAGATGTGAAGGAAACAGGCTAAAATATCCACAGGGCTTATGTTAGGGCTCGGGGTAATATTTTGTCTCCTTTCATGTATTTTTGAGATGCACAATTACATCTTACATTATGAAAGCAATACAACTCGGTTTTTTGGGCTGTATGAGAAGGAGATGCATCCTTTCCCCAAACTCTAGTGATACTCAGCCCTGATCTGCCTTTGAGTTTTGCATTCCCCAGGGCCGTCCTTGCACTCCACCTGGGTCAGTGTGAGTTTAATAGGGCTATGTTTGTGTCTTCCTTCTTTCTTAGGACAAGGTGTCTCAGCTGGAGATGGAACTGGAAGAAGAAAGAAATAACTCAGATTTGCTGTCTGAGAGGATCACTCGGAGCAGGGAACAGGTGCTGTATGTAGTTGAATGATGAATGGATTGTCCTTCATGGAAAAGGAAATGTGAGAAGTGAAACCCAAGGATTCAGCTAGAAGAGGGAAGAAAGTTCTTGCCTTATAGAAACGATGGAAGGCTGGGTAGTGTTCACTGTAGTAAGCCATGAAGAGGGAGGTGTAGTATATAACATAAAGCACACAAAGTGGAAGTTTCCAGAGTGGTTATGGGTAACAGTCTATTAGCCATAATAGGCAAACTGCTCTGCTTAGAGCAGAGGCTCTAAGAATCATTAGTCCAACAAGCAATTGTGTGAAATTGGGTTGCCATGGAAAGTGGAGGACATGATGCAGATTTTTCCTTTAAGAACTTTACAAGCTAAATAGCCATACAGACGCCTATGAAGCATTCACAGTACATTAACAACCTCTTCCAAGTGAATGCTTTTTGCAGTTTTCAAAGGTGAGGAATTCCTCTTACCTTCGATCTCTACAGCAACACTGGGAGGCAGCCAGGGACCGTGTTCGCTGTCTTCACACTGTAGATAATAGAACTAATTTCCTAAATGACACTCCATGTAATCCGAAGGTTTTTGAATTTTGTTTACATTTTTTAATTAAAAAAAAAGTTTAAAGCAGCTGAGTTCTGTCCTGGGGATAGGGAGTCCTCTCATTGGGAAGTGGTGATTCCCTTCACTGGTTGCCTTGCCCAAACCATTTGACAGATCACATGGGGAAGCATTATGGGACGATATTCAGAATACGTAGTGACAGTTTTGAAAAGAACCTATATTCACTAATCTCAGCCTTTCATTTACATGACACCCATGGCTACCTGTAGAAACCTCTGAAGGGATGTATTTTCAGTGACAACTTAGTTGTATGCTGGGCTTCTGAAAATGGTACCAGAGAAACCGTACATAGACATTCAGAAAGTTCTTCACCTCTTGATTTATTTTGGGCACTTTCTTAATTAAGCAATGCAAACAAAACCTAAAAGCCTTGGATGAGGCTGAGTACAAATGAGGAAATTTTATCTATATAAAGGATTAAAATTAAAAATCTAAAATACAAGTTAATTTGGGCAAAATCTTCTTTATCCAAAGAAGCTCTTTCCTCTGGTCACTCTTCGACTTCGGCACATGCCCCACTTTTCCACCACCTCCGGACAACCAAGAACTGGAGGTTCTAATGCTTGGGGACGATGCCATTCCATGATGGTAGCCCCTCTTCAAAGTTGAAGGGAAATCACTGGCTTCTTTTCCATTGTTTCCCTGTTGACCGATTCTTTGCAAACAAGTAAGACAGTCGTGCTGTTTTGCTTCTGAGAGTGGAGAAATTCCAATCCGAACCTCTGTCCTCAGGTTCAGTTCTGTCTACGTGTTCCAAAGCCATGCTAGCAGTTATCCTGCTCAAGGGGGAGCAGCCCAGCCAACCGGAGCTGCAGAAGCTAGGGAAAGGCTTTCATGGAAACCTCAAATGGATCACCCAACCTTGACACTTGAGCCCTTGTACGTTCTTACTGAAGTCTGCATTTTGATAGGCTCTTTCCCTGGTATAAAAGTTGCTTGGTGACGCGTTCCTGCCAGTGTGGCTGAGCCCCCACAGTGCCATGGGGCATTTTAGGATCTGCTAAGCATTCATGATAACAGAAGTGGCCACGAATTCGTTTTGCTAATGCTGCTCGTGGCTTAGGCAGGGAGGAATGGTGGCAAAGTCTGTCACCCTGTCAATAACCAGGCAGGCAAAACAGGCTTCCCAAGCCCCATGTTTTACACCAAAAACAAAACACAGACACAATGAACCAGAAAGTGGTTGTCTTGCTTGGCTCAGCTGATGGCCCAGCCTGAAGAGAACTGATGACTCAGTCCCCTTCTTTCTCCTCTCACCTGAGCATGTGACACATAGAGCTGCACTCCGTCATGTGGCCATGGCCGAAGATACTTCGAGCCAAGAACGTGAAGTGAGCCCAGGGAGGAGGTTAAGGGAATGAACTTGGTCTACTGGAAAGAACGTGGGCTTGCGAGTGCCTGGCCTAACTCCTGCACCAGCCCCATGGAGTCCCAGGAAGGTGCCAGCCTCTCTGAGCACATTCTTTAGGGGATGTCCCTGTTAAGGAGGCGTCACAGGTCAGTGTTGGGGTGGGGGAGAGGAGTTATCGTTATCACAGACTATTATTATAGTCTGTGAAAGGGCGGCTCTTCTCCAAATTCCAACACTGAGCCACTCTGACAAGGCTGCGTCTAGCCAAGTGTCATGAGTCCCTCGAACCCCCATCCTTCCCTGTGTCTGAGCTGTGTGCCCGAAGGGAGGTTTCCACAGCCTCTAGCCTGTTTGCCCTGTTCGTTCTGTTTTCCCCTTCTATTTCCTTTCTTGTCCCTGCCCTCCCTGAGGTGGGGGGTTGAGGGGTAAAACTTGGTGCCTGTCATAGTGGAGGAACGGAGCATCACGTTCACCTTGTAGGAATTGCTAAAACAACAACAAAACAAAACTCCTGAGGTAAGGCCTCTCTTCTGGCCTTTGCTATCTCTGGATTTGTGGGGAAGGGTAGCGTAGAGAACTGGGTTGACTGAATACCCGCCTCACAGGACAGCATTTAATTCTTATTCAACGCTGGGGTCAATCTGAGACTTCTTTTTTGCCTCTTAAAGTAAAGGTTCCAAGGAATGGCCTTGGGTATAGATAGTCGGGCCCTAATTTTGATCCGCTTACGTTAACTTGTTGGGCCATGAGCCTGCTGCCTTCCTGCCAGAATCAGAGGGGAAACTTCCAAACCTAAGACCCCTTCTCCTCTCCCCCCCCAAACACTGACCTGTGATGCCTCCTTAACAGGGACATCCCCTAAAGAACAGGAAATGTTGCCTGTCTGATATCTCCAACCCGATTTATAGCATCAGCCCCAGAAGCTCAGCAAACTGCTTCCAGGCACTGAAAAGGGAAGGCGTAGGGAGTTAGACTTTTTGGATCTTGCTCTCTTTAAATTGAAAAGGAAAAAGGTTACAGCTCTTACTTAAACTCTGCATTCTTATAAGCTCCCCTTCTGAATTTTGCCTTCCCCAAACATCTCTCATTTTTTCCCTAGTCTTAGTGGCAGGGCTTAGGTAGAAAAGCTAGGGGGGGAAAAAAAAGGTTTTCCAGCAATATGAGCAAATGGCCAACCCCTTTCACAGAATCTTAGATCTGGCAAGGACCTCCAAGTTCCTCTCCCCAGACTTCTGGTGCAGTGCACAAGAGATCTGAGGCCCAGCCCCATCGTCGCGCCCCTCCCCCCATCTGGCCAGCTCACACAGGTGGTCAGTTGCAGAGCTGGCCTCAAATCTCCTGACTCCCCAAACAGGGTTCTACCAGTGCTCGGTGCTCATAAGGTATGCTGGATACCTTATGAGCTGTGTGCATAAATAGCATTGTGGTGAGGCTGTAGAGATGATCAAAAGTGGCCCCTGTCCTTGAGTGTTTGAAGAGATGGAGGATGCCCCCCAAAATGGATGATTAATAAGAAAAAGCAACAGATACTAAATGCCAAGTGCAGGATTCAGGCAGCTCACGAAGGAAAGGCCATCATAGCAAGGGGTGATGGTGGGAGTTCTTTGAGGAAGGTGAACCTGGAGCTAGTTTTGAAGAAAGGGTAAGATTTAGACAAACTAAGGAGTGGGAAGGGAATCCTAGACAGAATGGATAGTGTGAATTAGGATTGGGAAGTAGGATATTTACAGTGTCTGGGGGACAATGAACGGAATACTGTGATAGGTTTCTGGTTTCCATAAGGGAATAGTAGGAGATAAGTTTGGAGAGGCAGGTTGAGGGTGTTGAATGGACCTTATCCTGAAGGCAGTGGGGAACCATTGAAGGTTGTAGAGCAGACAATGAGGCACCCGGGGTATTTTAAAAGATTAATGTAGTGGGGTTGGGAGTTAGGACAGCAGAAGGGGAGACCAGGAGGAAGCTCAACTGGGCTGTTCGGGGACAGAGAATAGAAAAGGCAGTTATGAGATCAAACATCCTATCCTTTATATGTTTTTTCCCCCCGTTCTTATACATACATTTGACACTCAGTAAATGCTGGGCACATTATTTGTGAGTTCCCAGCCGTTCTTTTCCGTACATGCTCAGGATGTAATTTTTCAGACTGATGGGTTCAGGAAATCCTAACAGAAATTTTTTTTTTTCCCCAAACTTTTTGGATGCTTGAATTTTGTTTCCAAATCTGACTAACATGAAGGAGAAGGGATGAATTTAGACTTGATAAAGTCATGTCTTATCTACTCTGTAAAACAGAGGTGAGGAGTATTTGTTTTCTCACCCAAATATGGTTTCACCTGATTCAGGAAGGGTTCTGGCTTGTAAGTTGAAGGCAAATTGATTTAAATAGTGGGTATTTCACCGGCTTTGGTCTGTTTAAATACAAAGAAATCCTTTTTTCTCTCCTTCCTCCAAAACCGTGTCTCCATTTACAATTGCTATCTTTACGGAGGATTTGCTAAGTGCTGGGCTCTGTGTGCCCTGCTTACATGCTTTTGTGTCATTGTTTCTGCTTGTAAGTGACCACCTAGGGTCCTGAAGCTTGGAGGCCAAGCCAGGATTTGACTCCAGAGCCTACTGCCTCCCACCTGTTCCCATCATTCCAGCATCAGACTTAAGACTGGTAAAGACCTCCCCAGATACATTTGGGGCCTCTCTTCACAAGTTAACAATAAGGCCATGGTGTCTTTTAATATGGATGAGGATTTATGATCTTCTCTTGACTGTCCAGTGAGTCCAGGATTTACATAGTAAAAGAGAGGCCCAGCATTGGTGTGTTTTAAACGTGTTCTAGTTCACTGGGCGCTGCTGTGCTGTTCCTGGTGGTTGAGTACAAACAGTTAACACTTGGGCTGGGCCTCAATGGAGAGGCGTTTTCTTGGCCATGGAAGCTATGATGACCCAGCTCAGTGGAAAGATGATTCTTCTAATATAGGCAGACAAGAGGAAAAACACCAACTCCAGAGCTTTGGGTGGCTTTATGATCCTTCCAGGGGCT